AAAGGTGAAGAGTAAAGGTCAACATGGGTGAAGTATTAACATGGGTGAAAGGTGAAAGTAAAGGTCAACATGGGTGAAGTATTAACATGGGTGAAAGGTGAAAGGTCAGTAAGTATTAACATGGTGAAACATGGGTGAAGTATTAACATGGGTGAAAGGTGAGAGTAAAGGTCAACATGGGTGAAGTATTAACATGGGTGAAAGGTGAGAGTAAAGGTCAACATGGGTGAAGTATTAACATGGGTGAAAGGTGAGAGTAAAGGTCAACATGGGTGAAGTATTAACATGGGTGAAAGGTGAGAGTAAAGGTCAACATGGGTGAAGTATTAACATGGGTGAAAGGTGAGAGTAAAACATGGGTGAACATGGGTGAAGGTGAAAGAGTAAAGGGCAACATGGGTGAAGTATTAACATGGGTGAAAGGGTGAAGTATTAACATGAGGTGAGAGTAAAGGTCAACATGGGTGAAGTATTAACATGGGTGAAAGGTGAGAGTAAAGGTCAACATGGGTGAAGTATTAACATGGGTGAACATGGGTGAACATGGGTGAAGTATTAACATGGGTGAAAGGTGAGAGTAAAGGGTCAACATGGGTGAAGTATTAACATGGGTGAAAGGTGAGAGTAAAGGTCAACATGGGTGAAGTATTAACATGGGTGAAAGGGTGAAAGTGAACATGAGTGAAGTATTAACATGGGTGAAAGGTGAGAGTAAAGGGTGACATGGGTGAAGTATTAACATGGGTGAAAGGTGAGAGTAAAGGTCAACATGGGTGAAGTATTAACATGGGTGAAGTAAAGGTCAACATGGGTGAAGTATTAACATGGGTGAAAGGTGAGAGTAAAGGTCAACATGGGTGAAGTATTAACATGGGTGAAAGGTGAGAGTAAAGTAACATGGGGTGAACATGGGTGAAGTATTAACATGGGTGAAAGGTGAGAGTAAAGGTCAACATGGGTGAAGTATTAACATGGGTGAAAGGTGAGAGTAAAGGTCAACATGGGTGAAGTATTAACATGGGTGAAAGGTGAGAGTAAAGGTCAACATGGGTGAAGTATTAACATGGGTGAAAGGTGAGAGTAAAGGTCAACATGGGTGAAGTATTAACATGGGTGAAAGGTGAGAGTAAAGGTCAACATGGGTGAAGTATTAACATGGGTGAAAGGTGAGAGTAAAGGTCAACATGGGTGAAGTATTAACATGGGTGAAAGGTGAGAGTAAAGGTCAACATGGGTGAAGTATTAACATGGGTGAAGTATTAACATGGGTGAAGTATTAACATGGGTGAAGTATTAACATGGGTGAATATTAACATGGGTGAAGTATTAACATGGGTGAAAGGTGAGAGTAAAGGGCAACATGGGTGAAGTATTAACATGGGTGAAAGGTGAGTAAAGGTCAACATGGGTGAAGTATTAACATGGGTGAAAGGTGAGTAGTAAAGGGTCAACATGGGTGAAGTATTAACATGGGTGAAAGGTGAAGAGTAAAGGTCAACATGGGTGAAGTATTAACATGGGTGAAAGGTGAAGAGTAAAGGTCAACATGGGTGAAGTATTAACATGGGTGAAAGGTGAGAGTAAAGGTCAACATGGGTGAAGTATTAACATGGGTGAAAGGTGAGAGTAAAGGTCAACATGGGTGAAGTATTAACATGGGTGAAAGGTGAGAGTAAAGGTCAACATGGGTGAAGTATTAACATGGGTGAAAGGTGAGAGTAAAGGTCAACATGGGTGAAGTATTAACATGGGTGAAAGGTGAGAGTAAAGGTCAACATGGGTGAAGTATTAACATGGGTGAAAGGTGAAGAGTAAAGGGCAACATGGGTGAAGTATTAACATGGGTGAAGTATTAACATGGGTGAAAGGTGAGAGTAAAGGTCAACATGGGTGAAGTATTAACATGGGTGAAAGGTGAGAGTAAAGGTCAACATGGGTGAAGTATTAACATGGGTGAAAGGTAGTAACATGGGTGAAGTATTAACATGGGTGAAGTATTAACATGGGTGAAAGGTGAAGAGTAAAGGTCAACATGGGTGAAGTATTAACATGGGTGAAAGGTGAGAGTAAAGGTCAACATGGGTGAAGTATTAACATGGGTGAAAGGTGAGAGTAAAGGTCAACATGGGTGAAGTATTAACATGGGTGAAAGGTGAAGAGTAAAGGTCAACATGGGTGAAGTATTAACATGGGTGAAAGGTGAGAGTAAAGGTCAACATGGGTGAAGTATTAACATGGGTGAAAGGTGAGAGTAAAGGTCAACATGGGTGAAGTATTAACATGGGTGAAAGGTGAGAGTAAAGGTCAACATGGGTGAAGTATTAACATGGGTGAAAGGTGAGAGTAAAGGTCAACATGGGTGAAGTATTAACATGGGTGAAAAGGTCAACATGGTGAAAGGTGAGAAAGGTCAACATGGGTGAAAGGTGAAAGGTGAGAGTAAAGGTCAACATGGGTGAAGTATTAACATGGGTGAAAGGTGAGAGTAAAGGTCAACATGGGTGAAGTATTAACATGGGTGAAAGGTGAGAGTAAAGGTCAACATGGGTGAAGTATTAACATGGGTGAAGTATTAACATGGGTGAAAGGTGAGAGTAAAGGTCAACATGGGTGAAGTATTAACATGGGTGAAAGGTGATAGTAAATGGTAACATGTGTGAAGTATTAACATGGGTGAAAGGTGAGAGTAAAGGTCAACATGGGTGAAGTATTAACATGGGTGAAAGGTGAGAGTAAAGGTCAACATGGGTGAAGTATTAACATGGGTGAAAGGTGAGAGTAAAGGTCAACATGGGTGAAGTATTAACATGGGTGAAAGGTGAGAGTAAAGGTCAACATGGGTGAAGTATTAACATGGGTGAAAGGTGAGAGTAAAGGTCAACATGGGTGAAGTATTAACATGGGTGAAAGGTGAGAGTAAAGGTCAACATGGGTGAAGTATTAACATGGGTGAAAGGTGAGAGTAAAGGTCAACATGGGTGAAGTATTAACATGGGTGAAAGGTGAAGAGTAAAGGTCAACATGGGTGAAGTATTAACATGGTGAAAGGTGAGAGTAAAGGTCAACATGGGTGAAGTATTAACATGGGTGAAAGGTGAGAGTAAAGGTCAACATGGGTGAAGTATTAACATGGGTGAAAGGTGAGAGTAAAGGTCAACATGGGTGAAGTATTAACATGGGTGAAAGGTGAGAGTAAAGGTCAACATGGGTGAAGTATTAACATGGGTGAAAGGTGAGAGTAAAGGTCAACATGACTGAAGTATTAACATGGGGCGCCTGACAACTGAGTGGACAGCGCTTCGGATTCGTAATCCTGAGGTTCTGGGGTCGATCCTCGGTGGAGGTGGGGACAAATGAGTAAAATGTTTCTTTCACCCTGATGCCCCTGTTACCTAGCAGTAAATAGGTATCTGGGAGTTAAGCAGCTGCAACGGGCTGCTTTTTTGGGGGTTTATAACAAAAAGAAGGCCTGGTCAAGGACCGGGCCGCGGGGACGCTAAGCCCCGAAATCATCTCAAGATAACCCCAAGAAGATGGGTGAAAGGATTTAACAAAAATAACTTAAAAACTATTAAATATATTCAAAAAAATTTATTTAAAACATGCTTAATGAAGACCAAAGATGTAGTGTAACATTTTTTCTGATATATAAAACAAAGATTAAGGAAAAGGCTGCACAAATTATATCTGAGGCAGGTCAGGTAACTGAGAATGAAAGAGAAATGTGACGTATTTCAAATAAATTCATTTTTGTAGTTCCTAAACAAACTTAACTATGCATTCAGCAGAACAAATCTTTGAAGGTCGAGAGGACTAGTTAAGTAGTTACTAGCGAGGAAGTTATTAAACAAATATGCAAACTAAAGGCAAACTAGTCTACAGAGCCAGACAAAACATTATCCAGGGTGCTTAAGTAAGGTAAAGCAAAGCTTAGTGACCCATTGTCTTCCATATTTAATTAATTATTAGACTCGACCAGAGTACCGGAGTGATGGATGGTTGCTGATGTGGTGCCAATTGCTGCAAATTGATTTAAATGATAATTGCCAAAGCTATTCATTTTCCCCTTGAAAAGGTTTCACTAAGGGCCGTTCATGTTTAAGAAAATTTCTATCATTCTGTTCTTGTAAATTTCCAGAAGGTGATAGTAGGAAGGATTGTGACATTCTATAACTTGACGTCAACAAGGACTTTGATCCTGCGCCTCACAAGACTAAAGAGCTGGAGACACACGGTAATGGCGGTTTGTCTTAAGTTGGATTACACCTTGGTTATTAATAAAGACAGCAGAGAGTTGGCGTGAATAGAGTTAAATCCCATGTGGAATTAACTTCCATGTGGGAGTTAAACTCACAAAAAAGCTAAAAGACAATCTGTATAGACTTTCCACGTAGACAAAACATTAGCGGATGCAGCTTAATGCTGTAAAATGTTGGGATTTGAGCTTAGTAATAATAATACTAGAGTTTCCATATATCACCTGGACAATATTAAACATCTGAAGAATTTATTGGAGAAATATCTAGGAGTCATAATCTCAGGGATCAAAAGCAAATAATGCATAAACATATGGAATAAAGCATATAGGATACTGAGATTAATTTTACTAAGTGTTAACCTCAACACATCAAATATTTCCTCCAGGAGAGGAAAAAAAGTATTGTGTTGAGTTTTATTGTTTAACTTAAAATCATGGGTGGAAAAGTTGGTTAATTATGTGAGGATAACTAGGTCCGGCCTCAGTTAGTCCCTGGGGCTGGTCACGGGTCACCACCTGGTCCCTGGGGCTGGTCACGGGTCACCACCTGGTCCCTGGGGCTGGTCACGGGTCACCACCTGGTCCCTGGGGCTGGTCACCTGGTCCCTGGGGCTGGTCACGGGTCACCACCTGGGGTCACCACCTGGTCCCTGGGGCTGGTCACGGGTCACCACCTGGTGGTCCCTGGGGCTGGTCACGGGTCACCACCTGGGGCTGGTCACCCTGGGGTCACGGGTCACCACCTGGTCCCTGGGGCTGGTCACGGGATACCACCTGGTCCCTGGGGCTGGTCACTCCATACTGCAAATGTATACACCAAAATGTTACATATTTAAAAAAGTTTATATTTACAGTTTACTGTATAACTACGAGAGTCAAAATTACAATAATCAGCAACAAGAACAAGAACTTGAGAAATCAAAAGTTTAAATAATTGACAATAAGCTTTGTCCAGTTAAATTAATTTTGTTTTAAAATTTGGGTATAACGACAACTGAATAATAAATATAAAGACAACTATAAAGAAATTAGTGTAATGGCTAAATATAAGTCTCATAAATGATTATTGCATAAATTAGTCCATAAATACAAGTCCGACAACCACCACCACAAATATATACAACATAAAACAGCCAAGCAACACAAGTAAATATACACTTGAATACATTCCAGAACACAAACGTTACACAAAGATATAAACCCATTACCACGAGGCAGACAACACCTTCGGTCATGACCCACCAAGAGCACTTCCTGCCACCCTGGCAGACAACACCTTCGGTCATGACCCACCAAGAACACTTCCTGCCACCCTGGCAGACAACACCTTCGGTCATGACCCTCCAGGAGCACTTCCTGCCACTCTGGCAGACAACACCTTCGGTCATGACCCACCAAGAGAACTTCCTGCCACCCTGGCAGACAACACCGGTCATGACCCTCCAGGAGCACTTCCTGCCACCCTGGCAGACAACACCTTCGGTCATGACCCACCAAGAGCACTTCCTGCCACCCTGGCAGACAACACCTTCAGTCATGACCCACCAGGAGCACTTCCTGCCACCCTGGCAGACAACACCTTCGGTCATGACCCACCAAGAGCACTTCCTGCCACCCTGGCAGACAACACCTTCGGTCATGACCCACCAAGAGCACTTCCTGCCACCCTGGCAGACAACACCTTCGGTCATGACCCACCAGGAGCACTTCCTGCCACCCTGGCAGACAACACCTTCGGTCATGACCCACCACACTTCCTGCCACCACCTGGCAGACAACACCTTCGGTCATGACCCACCAGGAGCACTTCCTGCCACCCTGGCAGACAACACCTTCGGTCATGACCCACCAGCACTTCCTGCCAGCACTTCCTGCCACCCTGGCAGACAACACCTTCGGTCATGACCCACCAGGAGCACTTCCTGCCACCCTGGCAGACAACACCTTCGGTCATGACCCACCAGGAGCACTTCCTGCCACCCTGGCAGACAACACCTTCGGTCATGACCCACCAAGAGCACTTCCTGCCACCCTGGCAGACAACACCTTCGGTCATGACCCACCAGCACTTCCTGCCACCCTGGCACTTCCTGACCCACCCACTTCCTGGGCAGACAACACCTTCGGTCATGACCCACCAAGAGCACTTCCTGCCACCCTGGCAGACAACACCTTCGGTCATGACCCACCAGGAGCACTTCCTGCCACCCTGGCAGACAACACCTTCGGTCATGACCCACCAGGAGCACTTCCTGCCACCCTGGCAGACAACACCTTCGGTCATGACCCACCAGGAGCACTTCCTGCCACCCTGGCAGACAACACCTTCGGTCATGACCCACCAAGAGCACTTCCTGCCACCCTGGCAGACAACACCTTCGGTCATGACCCACCAAGAGCACTTCCTGCCACCCTGGCAGACAACACCTGGCAGACAACACCCTTCGGTCATGACCCACCAGGAGCACTTCCTGCCACCCTGGCAGACAACACCTTCAGTCATGACCCACCAGGAGCACTTCCTGCCACCCTGGCAGACAACACCTTCGGTCATGACCCACCAAGAGCACTTCCTGCCACCCTGGCAGACAACACCTTCGGTCATGACCCACCAGGAGCACTTCCTGCCACCCTGAGCACTTCCTGCCACCCTGGCAGACAACACCTTCGGTCATGACCCACCAAGAGCACTTCCTGCCACCCTGGCAGACAACACCTTCAGTCATGACCCACCAGGAGCACTTCCTGCCACCCTGGCAGACAACACCTTCGGTCATGTCCCACCAGGAGCACTTCCTGCCACCCTGGCAGACAACACCTTCGGTCATGGCCCACCTGGAGCACTTCCTGCCACCCTGGCAGACAACACCTTCGGTCATGACCCATCAAGAGCACTTCCTGCCACCCTGGCAGACAACACCTTCGGTCATGACCCACCAAGAGCACTTCCTGCCACCCTGGCAGACAACACCTTCGGTCATGACCCACCAAGAGCACTTCCTGCCACCCTGGCAGACAACACCTTCGGTCATGACCCACCAGGAGCACTTCCTGCCACCCTGGCAGACAACAAACACCTTCGGTCATGACCCACCAGGAGCACTTCCTGCCACCCTGGCAGACAACAAACACCTTCGGTCATGACCCACCAGGAGCACTTCCTGCCACCCTGGCAGACAACACCTTCGGTCATGACCCACCAGGAGCACTTCCTGCCACCCTGGCAGACAACAAACACCTTCGGTCATGACCCACCAGGAGCACTTCCTGCCACCCTGGCAGACAACACCTTCGGTCATGACCCACCAGGAGCACTTCCTGCCACCCTGGCAGACAACACCTTCGGTCATGACCCACCAGCAGCACTTCCTACCACCCTGGCAGACAACACCTTCGGTCATGTCCCACCTTGAGCACTTCCTGCCACCCTGGCAGACAACACCTTCAGTCATGACCCACCAGGAGCACTTCCTGCCACCCTGGCAGACAACACCTTCGGTCATGACCCACCAGGAGCACTTCCTGCCACCCTGGCAGACAACACCTTCAGTCATGACCCTCCAGGAGCACTTCCTGCCACCCTGGCAGACAACACCTTCAGTCATGACCCACCAGGAGCACTTCCTGCCACCCTGGCAGACAACAAACACCTTCGGTCATGACCCACCAGGAGCACTTCCTGCCACCCTGGCAGACAACAAACACCTTCGGTCATGACCCACCTTGAGCACTTCCTGCCACCCTGGCAGACAACAAACACCTTCGGTCACCATGACACCAGTAGCAGGGATGACGGCTTAAACGGCTCATTTTTTTCGGCGATGGGCCGGTTAAGCCGTTAGGGGTTCCAGGTAAACTCTACAGACATTTTTTGTTTGGTTTCAAAATCGTGCATTTTTCAAACGCCATTTTTGGAGAATATGTTCATAGAAGTTTGTAAGAGTTCTTATGGGAGAAATTCAAAAATTTTCACAGTTCAAATTTTATGAAAATATTTCAGAGTTCGTGTAATCATAGGAGTTTATATATGAGTTTATGACCGAAATTTGTAAAAAAAAAAAAGACCATTTTCAGAGAATATTGTCATAGAAGTTTTGTTAAGGAAAATAGACGTCTTAGCCGTGACTTTTAGTTTGTATATCCATTTACGGCTGTTTCACCTGTAAAAGACCAAAAATGAACTGAAAGCAGTTTAAACACCAAAAATTATTCAGAGACCATTTGAAGACCGATTTTCTTCAGAGACCATTTGAAGACCGATTTTCTTCAGAGACCATTTGAAGACCGATTTTCTTCGGAGACCATTTATGACCATAAATATGACAGAGACCATTTGAAGACCAAAATAAGACAGAGATTACTTTAGACCCAAATATTACAGAGACCATTTTAGACCAAATAATTTGAAAGACCATATACGACCGAAATAAGACAGAGATTATTTTAGACCCCAAATATTATGAGAGTCCAGTAAAAAACCTAAATTAATCAGAGTTCAGTAGAAATCGGAAAATGGTCAGAGTCCATTTAAGACCGAAAATTAGTCAGAGATCATTTTAAGACCAGAAAAATTCAGAGTTTAACTTACACCTACGTTCTTAAAGAGTTCTTATGGAAGAAATTCAAATATTATCAGATTCCACTTTGAGACCAAAATTCATCAGATTCCACTTTGAGACCAAAATACGCCAGAGACCGCATTTATAAGTGTAGTATCAATATTAACCTTAGTATCAACCTACCAATTTCCCTGAAATTTTAAACAGTCATATATCAGACGTAGTAAATCAAACCGAGCTAGAAAGCAAGTTCTAGCTCCCGTCCCCCGCCTTAGTTCCCTTGCATATCATCTTTAGTATCTAACCAATTCCCTTGAGATTTAAAACTCAGTTATTTCAGACAGAGTAAAATATGGCTAATGTAGTTACTGAGTTTCATATTTTGTCCCCTGCATTAGTTCGCTCCTGTAAATTCACTACTATCAGACCAAATCCCCTGAGATTTAAAACCCCAACTACATTTCAGACCCCTGTAAAATAAATCAACAAGTAAATTACCGAGCTCCAGCTCATGTCCTCCGCTTTAGTTCATCAAAATTATTTCAGATCAAGATGCTCTCCTGTCTATCAAAGTAAACATATCCTGTCCTTTAATAAACTTTTTGTATTCAGCTATGTAAATAATTACTAACGTGCTAATATTCACATGGTCAGATTGCACCCTACTCTCATTACCCTTTGTTTACCCAAGTAAGCAATAATCACAAGGTCAAAAATCACACCTTACCCTTTCCCTCCCTTACCTTCTCATCCCTTAGCTTCCCCAACTCCCTTTTGCCCATATCTCCCCACTTCCTCTCCCCCCTTACCTTCTCATCCCTTACCTCCCACGCCCCTTACCTTCCCCTCTATTATCTCTCCACACCCTTAAACTTTCTACTCTATTATCTCTCCACACCCTTTACCTTCCCCCTTTCCTTCTCATCCCTTATCTCCCCTTCATCTCTCCCATTCCCCAACTTATCCAAACCTTCAGTAATCCTAAAGTATTTGTATATTTTCTGTGTTCTTCACTGTGTTCTTCGCATTTCCTTCCATATTTTCTTTGTCATATTCTCCATGTTTTCTGTGTTCTTTGTCATGCTTTCATGTTCATCAAATGTACTCTGTACAAATTTTATACACAATATTCATGTTCATGTGTTCTCTCTCATGTTCCTTGCATGTTCAATGTATTCCTCGCATTCTCTTACACGTTCTATATGTTCTTTGTCATGTTCCCCATATGTTCACTGCTTTCAT